TTCACCGAGATGACGGCCACGTACTACGGCAACGAGAGCTTATTCGCCACAGCACCCACTACGGGCCATGACAGAGCTTCGCGCTACGAGTTCAAGCACGCGCTCTGCGACACTCCAACCTGTTGTGGCAGCAGACGCGCAGTGAGATTGGCAAGTAGGCGAGGCTGAACGTGCAGGGCTCCATGAAAGGGGCGTACCGCTACCTGAAAAAGATGGAGCGCAGGGCGCTGGACGAGACCTGCGTCAACCCTTCTACGCTGGAGGTGTGTGACACAATCCAGGGCACCACTGAGACCAGGGCGGCCTGCTGAAGGCGAGGTGGACATCTCAGTCCCACCGACTACCAGCGGTCCGCGCTGCCCTCGGTAGGCTCCGTACTCGTGCCACCGAGGAGCTGGCAGCGCGGCCGCACCATGACAGAGAGGGCGTGGTCATCGCCCTCAAGTCCTTCCCGAAGACCACGGGAATGGGCTCGGACCAATGGAAGCCGAGCCACATCCTCGCGCTCTCGGACCAGGGGCAGGACGACTTCGTGACACTCCTGAACATGATGGAGGGGGGGGCTTGCATGGCCCCGCCAGCTGCTGCACAACTGGTCCGCCCTCCTCCCGAAGGGCGATAGGCAGGTGATATCGGCAACGAGCGTGATATCGGCCCGTCTGGGGCGCGCTTGGGCGGGCGCGGGCAAGGCCGCAGCGGCCCAGGCACCCATGGCGGAAAACCGCCGCCCATGGTCTTGACGCCGTCTCTACGCGAGCGCTGCCTCCTCCTCCTCCTCCTCCTCCTCCTCCTCCTCCTCCTCCTCCTCCTCTCCGCATCTGGGGCCGCATGACGAAGACCCCGCTGACGGAGTGGTGCGACGCGAGCGCGGCCCACTGGGATGCCGCCATCAGGGGCAGCAGCGCGCCCCAGGCCGCCCTCAAGACCATGGTCATGGACGAGACTCGGGCGCATATCGGCTACAACGAACAGAGCAACTTCCTGGTGGATCTGGAGAAGTTCTACGACTACATGGACCTCTCCCTCATGATTGACCAGGCGATGGAGCTGGATTTCCCGGCGGTGGAGCTCTACCTGTGCTGCTTGACTTACCTGGCGCCACGGGCCATCCGAGCACAAGGCGCCTACGCCGAGGAGATCAACCCAGTATGTTCCATCGTGCCTGGCTGTGGCAAAGCCAACCACTGTGCTCGAGCGTTCTTGTACCGCCTCCTGGAGAAGGCCCACCAGCAAGCGCCCCTCGCCAGCATCCGCCAGTACGTGGACGACGTGCACTCTAGGGTTGAGGGCCCCGCCGCTATGGTGCTGGAGCAGACCAAGCAGGTCAGTGTCAGCCTGGTGCAGGGCATGCTGGACTTAGGCCTGCGGGTGTCTCCAAAGTCCATCCTCATGATGTCTGTGCCTGCTCACGAGCAGGAGGTTCAGAAGCACGTGCTCAAGGTCACTGGCATCAAGATCAAGAGAGCTAAGTGGGCCAAGGACCCAGGCACCGACTGCAACATGGGCCAGCGACGTACATGCAAGACTACAAAGGGGCGCCTATCGGTTGCACAAGCGAGAACTGCAAGGTCAACACTTTTCCGGCGTGTGGGGCGCGGCTCCAAGCGCACCAAGGGCGTCATGCTCCACAACAACAACATCAGGGCCAAGTACCGCAACGCCGACCCAGCGACGGGAGTTGCGCCCTCAGAAATGAAGATGAGACGAGCTCGAGCAGCGGACTTGGCAGGCCACACAACAGGGGGCCGCTGCACCGCCACCGTCATGCTGCTTCACTACCAAGACGACGAGCCCAAGATGAGCGCGATCATAGATCAGGTCAAGAATTGGTTTCAGTTCTGGGTTGCGAACCCTGATATGCGAGAGCGTGTTCGACGAGGATGGCGAGCTGTGCTCAAGAAGCTGATATACACCAGACCGCGAGCCCGCTGGAGGTGCATCACGGGCCCCATGGGCGCGCTGATCCTGTCCCTCCGCGAGCTGGGCTGGACACCTAGGGCCCCCGACATGTGGATCGACGACCAGGGCGACGAGTGGAGGCACCTGGGCGACCACGACTCCTACGACGAGCTCTACCAGGCCCTCTGTGAATCAGTTCGGCGCGAACTCTGGCGCGCAGCAGCCCAGCATCCTGAAGGCCGCGGACTCGAGGAGGGAGGAGATCTACATATGCTGCGCCTCAATCTTCGGCGCCTCCGTTGCAAGGACCATTACCGAGAAGCTGGTGCCCTGGAGGCCAACGCGCTGGCCAGCATATGGACTAAGGCTCGTGCCAAGGCTGCAGGCTACGTGTGCGACGACGTATGCATCAAATGCGGTCTCGGGCCTGACACCATCGGCCACCGTTTGTACGAATGTACTGTGAACCGCCAGCTGGAGCATGAGTGGGTGGCCAGACTGACGGCCTATGCGAGGCCGCGCTGAGAGACCTGAGTGAGGGAAAGAATGTTGCTTTTTGGACGAGAGGGATAGCTCCCCCGTCCTGGAACCCAGTGCCCAAGCCCCCCGAGTGGAACCCTGGTGACGGCCAGGATGTTTGAGCACTTGGGTTACCTCCTCCTGACCTCTCTCCTTCCCTCGACCTCCTCCCCTCTGACTCCTACCCCCTCCAGGCCCAGGTAGGTTTCCTTGACGGCTCGGCCACGTCCAGCGACGCCAGGGTTTGTCGAGTCGGTTGGGGGGTCTACTTTCGCTTTGAGGGGGAGGCCGAGCTGGACGTGGACCAGGGCCCCCTTAAAGGACTTGGTGGCACCATCGATGGGGATCAAACGGTCCCCGCCAGTGAACTTGCGGCCCTAGTCTGGGCCCTGCGGGTCACCACGGGGCCGATTCTGCGTTGGACGGAGTGTCAGGTTGTTTTCCACGGCTGGCAGATGGGCCTTGCGGAGTCGCCGTCGGGCCCCCTTGTCCGCTGGTGGGATAGGGTCAAGACAGCCCTGCGTAGCAGGGGCGGCGGTAGGGTCATTGTGAAAAAAATGTTTCTCTCACTTGGACGTTGCTTCCCACTTGCAAGTAGGTCAGTGCGTGCAGGTTTCGAGGGGAAACGAGATGGCGGATCAGCTCCCAGCGAGGAGCTGAGGCCGCATTCCAGCCCATCAGTTCGGCTATCAAGAGTTTGAACATCGCCGACGCGAGAGCCACCCTCGTGCATCAGCGAATAGGGGCGATCCTGGCACAAGTTTGCGAAGACCTTGACCGTTTCGACCGCGGGGCTTTCGGTTTGGCGACGGGGCCTTCCAGGCTCCAGGAGCTCGAGGCCCACTCGGGCCACGAGCTCTTGCGTCTGGACACCGGACTGTGGTCGTGCAAACGGTGTCGACAAGGCCCTGGTAGATACTCTGTGGCGGACTGGTTAGAACGTACGCCGTGTTTGGGGAATATTGCCAAGAGGGATCTGAGCGAGCAAGGCCACCACGTCTCTGTCCCTCCCACTGTCGTAAGTCAGCTGCGGGTGGGGCCTAAGACGGTGCATCCCTCGCACTCGATCGCCATGCAGCACGGCCTGGCGTGGTGTTGGGGATGTGCGCGCTATGCCTCCATCGTGGCGGGGGGCAGGCGCCTGTGCAAGCTTGCCCAAGAGTGCCCAAAGATGCGCACGCAGTCTGGCCAAACCATGATCAATCGTCTCCGTAAGGGCCTCACCCCGAAAGCGGGGATGACCTGGCCTATACCCCCAGCGGGAGGGAGCGGACCTCCTATGCCGAAGGTCGGCAGCTCAATCAAGTCTTTTGGGAGGAGGACGGACGGGGGGGTGAGCCGCTCGCTCAAGAACCCCCCCCCGATGACCACAGTAAATTACGTGTAATGTACACACCCTTTCGGAGAGGCGCAGCACCGCGGCGGCCTCTCTCTGAAGTAGATTCCGTAGATTCCTCCTCCTCCTCCTCCTCCTCCTCCTCCTCCTCCTCCTCCTCCTCCTCCTCCTCCTCCTCCCCATCCCCCTCCCCCTCCCCCTCCCCCTCCTCCTCCTCTTCCCTCCTCCTATTCCCACCCTGTCCCGTCCGTCTGCAAAGGCATCGCGTACCCCCCTGCTGGCGGTGTGACGCACCAGGGGGACGGGCCGCCACCCCATGGCGTGCACGGGCTGCCCGCTGCGCGCGCATGGATTGGAGCCTTTCGAAGAGCCTGCCGTCACTCCACACGAGTCAGGTCGGGCCTGTCCCCCCCTGCAGGGGGATCTTGGGCGAGAAAGGAATTATCCCAGTGCGACCCTACCTAGGAGTTGGAGCCTCTAGGAAAGCAACATTAGTAGGAGCGGTATATATATATATAGAGCAGCAGCAGCAATAGTGGATGCTGTGCTGCGCTATGCTATGCTATGCTATGCTATGCTATGCTATGCTATGCTATGCTATGCTATGCTATGCTATGCTATGCTATGCTATGCTGCGCAATGCTATGCTGGGCTAGGCTAGGCTAGGCTAGGCTATGCTATGCTATGCTATGCTGCGCTATGCTATGCTGCGCTATGCTATGCTATGCTATGCTATGCTATGCTATGCTATGCTATGATCTGATATGATATGATATGATATGATATGATATGGTATGGTATGGTATGGTATGGTATGGTATGATATGATATGATATGATATGATATGATATGATATGATATGATATGATATGACATGATATGATATGATATGATATGATATGATATGATATGATATGATATGATATGATATGATATGATATGATATGATATGTTGTTTTGCCTTCGCTTTTGCCTTCACGTTTGCCTTTGCTTTTGCTTTTGCTTGGCACCCAGGGAGCGCAACTGGGGGAACCGCGCGTTTGCTTTTACCTTTGCTGTTGCTTTTGCTTGGGTCCCAGGGGACTGGGGGAACCGCCCGGGGCGGTGTGCACTGCCCGGCCCCTTTAAGCCAACAGAGTAAGAACCCTTCTAGGCAAAGCCTAGGTAGGGAAAAATAGTGAAAAGATGCATTAAAAATGCCCAGACTATTCTTTCACTATTTTTGAGTATTCCCCCTGTAGAGGGGCAGGCCCGACTTAACACAAGAAGGAACCCCAAACAGACTTCATCCGCACACCAACCGCATCGCAGAAATATGTTCCCGCCCGTCAGCTATGCCCACGCGAACGACCCCCGCCCGTCCAATTCGCCGGCCCAACGGGCCAGAGGCGTGCTAAGATCTCCGGTGACTGCTTTACAATCTTTCTACTTCGCGCGCGCGGGGCGGCCCCTGGGGGCCCCTGGGCGGAAAATACCCCGGCAAGGTCCCGAGAGAGTCCCGGGAGGAGTCACCAGGGCGCTCCAGCAGCGCACCAACGCGGCTCCGAGACGTCCCCGAGAGCCCCAAGAAGGGCCAAGAGGCTTCCAAGAGGCCCCCAAGATGCTACATGAGGGGTCCGAGATGCCACAAGATCGCTCCAAGACGCCCACGATGGCCCCCAGACGCCCCAAGAGGCCTCCAAGAGCACTCCCGAGAGGGCCCCAAGAGGCAAAATTCACTGCTTTTCCTTAGGTTTTGGAGAGATTTTGGCGCTTCCACCTTTTCGGCTTCACGACACCCCAAGACGGCCCAAGAGGCCCCCAAGACCGCCCCAAGAGGGCCCAAGAGGCCCCCAAGAGGGCCCCAAGACGGCCCAAGAGGGCTCCAAGACAGAGGCCTCCAAGACGGCCCAAGAGGGCCCCAAGAACGCCCCAAGAGGGACCCCAGGGGGGGAACACGAAACAATATTTCGAGCCCTCGGCCCTCAGAAGTCCCCAGGAGGCCCCAAGAGGCCCCTAAGAGGCCCCAAGAGGCCCCCAACAGGCCCTCAGGAGGCCCCCAAGAGGCCCCCAAGCGGCCCCAGGAGGCCACCCAAATGCCCCCCCGAGCACGCAAGCAAGTGCCAGCGACGCTACACTATGGGCCGGCGGAATGAGCGAAGCGATTCAATAAACCAGTGCAGAAAAGGCCCCCCAAAGACTGGACCAGAGCTCCTCCAAGACCTGACGCTCCAGATAGCCTGGCCAAGACCCTCCACCTCCACCCCCCGAGAGAGAGACCTGCGACCGACTGCGAGACGAGCAACCCAACACCCAGCAGGCCGAAGGTCCGCCTTCCGCGCGTCCCCCAAGCCAGCCTGGACGAAATCGCAGCCCGTTTCCGCCCCTCTCCCCTCCCCCCGATCCCTCACCCATGCCCCAGTAACTCTCCACGCAATCCCCCCTGGGTCCGTTTTGGAGTTCCAGGTCTGCTATGACACCAATCGGCGGACAGAGAAAAATCAGCGCAGTGTCGAGGGGTGGATGGGAGGCGTCGGAGGTCAGGTATGGCGAGAGAGCATCTGGCTTGCCCTCGCCCCCTCCCCCCCGCGTTCCGAAGCGTTCCGGAACGCTCCGAGAAGGCCTTGGCGCTCGATGCATCCTCCAGAGCCGCTGGATCTCAGTGATTCTCGATTTTTCCTCGCCCCATTTTATCCTCGTCCTGGCTTACTATCACCACCCCCGCTGCAGTCGGTTCGTGTGGCGTCGGCGCGCGCAAAAGGCTTTGACACTGCGTCGATCGTTCAACCTTGAATCGATCGCGGCCCCGATCGTTCAAAATCGAATTCAGTCGGGTCCAGCGGCGTTACCGCGTCCATCGGTGCTTCCGCGTCGCAGAATTTGACCTTGAACGCCTTCGCCGGCGTCGCCAGCGCCCCAACGCCGCATGAACCTATCATACCACGGTGGAGCCGAGCAGACTCCAGGTCGATCGAGCTGCCAGCAAGCACCACCCTAGAAGAACAACGACGCAGACGTCGTGACACCGACAGAAGAGAGCGATATCCAACCCGCCCGCGGCGGTCCCCTTCCTCCTCTTCATCCTCCTCCTCCTCCTCATCCTCCTCCTATACCTCCTTTACCCACTCCTCCTCCCTCCTCCACTCATGTTCCTCCTCCTATACCTGCGTTTCCTCCTCTTCCTGCTCCTCCTGGTCCTCCTGCTCCGCCTTCCTCCTCCTGCTTCGTGTGCCGTGCCAGCCCGTCCCAACGCGGCACGCGAATGCCACCAGCGCAGAGCGCCCGAGCTCGTGCTTCGAGCGGCCCCAACTCTGCGCGCGTCGGAGGGAAACAGCAAGGCACCACCGTTCAGACGCGCGATCCTGGGTGAGGTAGGCCCCTCGCCTCTGGCTCTTCCACGGGTGGTAGAGAAGATTGGAAGTGGCGAAGAACGGCCAGAAGGGATGATTACAAGCACACGAACGGATGCACCAGACATGAGACCCACGCGGAGTAAGAACACTAAGATTTTGGAGTCACACGGCAGGGAGGAGGGGCGACGGAGGGGAAGGGAAACCAGGAGGATCAGGAGGAGAAAGGGAAGGAAGAGGAAGGGTGGGGAGCAGACGGGAGTGACAAGGAAAAGGTACCACGGAGGGGGATTATTCTAAATGGGGATTCGCCGTCAAAA